AAAAAAAAAAAAAAAAAAAAAAAAAAGAACAGTCAGTAACCACTAGCAGAAATTTCAGATGCATAATTGTTTGTATCATTTGGCTACTGGTTACACCATTATTACCAGTATCGGTATCAGCATATCAACAGTCGCAACAGTAGTACTAACAGTGAGTAGCATCAATAAAATCAAAAATAAAAAAGCAAAAAAGAACTTGAGAAATTTTTGTGAGTAAAAAAAACGAAATAAATAAACAAATTTTAACCGAGAAAAAAAAACATATAAAGGTTATGAAAGCTTTTTTTTTTTCGCTTTATCTATGCTTCTGTATTTTGAACTTCAAAAGTAAACTTTTAAGCGATGAACAAAGCCCAACGGTCTATAAAATAATTAGTAAAGGAAAAAAAAATTAAACAACAAAAGAGAGGGAAGAGATGATATTAAATTTCAAAAAGTTTATTACGTAGAAAAAAAAGCTGTCAACAATATATGTGCAATAGATCAGCGGTAATATGAATTGGCAACAAAGAAACAGATACGCTGATACATATTTAAATGTAGATATCAGAAACAAAATTTTTTCATCCATCCATTTCTTCTCCAATTGTCTGTGTCTGTGTGAACATGTGAATGGGTATTGTGTGCTCATCTTTTTGGTTCCATTTGGCAGTTAGTTTGTCCACACAAAAAGTAATTTTATTTGCAAAATGAGTGCCCAACACAAAAAAAACTTAGTTTATGACAGATGGCTGTCCACATTGTTTGCTGGAAAATAACGGCAAAGCACCCTCCCCAACCCCCTAAAAAAAAAAATGGCCCCACCCTCAACCTTTCCACAAAAAAATGGGGTGATCCTTTGGTTTGCTTATCTTTGCACTAAGATGGCGCCTTTCAAAAATGTTAAGAAATGAATAAAAAGGAAAAACTGAAATAAAAAGAAACCAATGAACAAAAAAAAAAAAATACTTTATTTCTTTACTCCGTATTTTTTGTCATTTCTTTCTTCCTCTTTTTTTTTCGTCCTTCTCACAGTTTACAAGAATACTGGCTGATTACTGTCCCCTAAAGAGCTGCATTGTGTTCAAAAATGAAGCAAATAAAAAAATTCAAAAAATAAAAA